ATAGTGATTTAATGGATATTGATGACGAAGATATCTATTCAAATGATCACGCCGGACCCAGCACAGTTGGTGCTTCAGGAATTGAAGTAGATTTTGATTCTTTAAGCGAATACCTTAAAGAGGTTTGTCTAGTTCATTCATTACCGTGAATTATAGATATGTTACATAATATAAAAGAATTCAACCAGAATATGTGTACAGAATGATGGGATCGAAATTACAAAAGATTTTGAGAAAAAGCTTGACGAAAAAACTGCAAAAATGGAAGAAATTGCGCCAAGCTTGAAAGCTATTGAAAGGTAGTTTTCGAACATACAATAGTTTTTCAAAGTAAAATGCTTAGTAACCTATTCTAAAGCAACAATTCCTATTGAACTGATTTATCAAATTATTATAGATTGGAAGGTATAGAACAGCGCATGCGAGATACTGAAAAAGAATTTGATAGTGCAAGACGCGAAGCTAAGACAGCCAAGGATAGGTTCAATGCTGTTAAACAAAAAAGGTAATAATTGTAATGATTATTATTATTATTTTTATTAAAAACAAAGATATATTTAAGATATATATATTTTTTAGATATAAACTTTTTCATGCTGCATATGATCATATCGCAGAAAACATTGATAAAATTTATAAAGATTTAACGAAAAGTCGCAGTTTTCCGTTGGGAGGGACTGCATATCTTAGTTTGGAAGATACTGAGGTATAACATTTGTTTTGATTTTAAAGGACAATATTTTCGGAAATGTCTTTAAATTTCAAACTTGCTTATAGGAGCCGTATCTAGATGGTGTGAAATATCATGCAATGCCTCCAATGAAGCGTTTTCGAGATATGGAACAGCTGTCGGGTGGTGAGAAAACCATGGCGGCATTGGCATTATTATTCGCTATTCACAGGTATTATTTCTGCGCACATAGTATCTAATCCATAAAAATTTTACTAATATTTCCTTTTTTTTTAGTTATCAACCATCGCCTTTCTTTGTTCTTGATGAAGTTGATGCTGCATTGGATAACACTAATGTTGGGAAAATTGCAAACTATATTCGGGAACACGCATCAGATACTTTTCAATTTATTGTCATCTCTCTCAAGAGTACTTTATACGAAAAGGCACAGGCACTTGTTGGAATATATAGAGATCAAGATATAAACAGCAGCAAGACATTGACATTGCAGGTATGTGTGTCTTCTCTTTTAAGCCATTTAAAAGATTTTATATTAAATTAATTTCAACCATTTTTTAGGTTGATAAATTTTCAGAATAAACCGACTCACACGATGTGGCTATAGCATTTAATCGAAAAATATGTAAAATTTATTATGTATAAACATTGAAATAATAAAACAGAAAGTCATTTGCAAAACATATCATATCACAAAAGCATTTAAAGTCTTAAGTTTATTCAATAAGACCCAATTCTTGAAGCACCAACTGTGCTGGGTCCGGCGTGATCATTTGAATAGATATCTTCGTCATCAATATCCATTAAATCACTAT